TAAAAAAGATGGAGACTCTGGAAAGAGTGCAGATAAGAGCAAGAAAGATGATTAAGGGCCTGAAGACTAAAATGTATGAAGAAGGGTTGCAGAAATTGGGTATGTCCAGTTTAATGGAGAGGAAAGGCTAGGGGTGACATTATAGTAGTGTTCCCATATTTGAGAGGCTGCCACAAAGAACAGGGGGTCAAAGCATTTTCCAAAGCATCAGGAGACAAGAAAAGAAACAATGAATGGAAACTAATCAAGGGGAGAAGCATCTAGAAATAAGAAGAAATTTCCTAACAGTGAAAACAATTAATCAGTGGAAGGCTTACCTCCAGAATGTGTAGGTGCTCCATCACTGGAAGCTTTCAAAAAGGGAAGGGACAACCATTTGTCTGAAATCATAGAAGGTCTCCTGGTTGAGCAAGGGGTTGGACTAGATGATCTTCAATGTCCTTTCCAACTGTTATTCTGTTTCTGTTACCAATCTTGTGTCTACCTATTCTGTATCTTGATTGTCAATCTGATATACCTCTCTCCATGTAAAATATAGTATAATTTTTCATAATCTAAACTTTCTCATAAATCTCAGTATAATACTGTGATTTTTTTCCCCTCCCTGAAGTCTAAGGCATAGAATTTCTTTTTCCCCAATTTGTTGATATAAAGCTATTAGCACCTTAGCTGCTTCTTGCCCATGACCTTTAAACAATTTAGGAGGTATTTCATTTGCTCTTGATGCTTTTCCATTTTCCGTTTTATTGACTATTATAACATTTTTAGTTGAGTCAGTCTGTGAATAAACTGTTTTTCTATAATTACTTCTGTCATTTTATAACCTATGTTCTAAATGTGTGTGTGTGTGTGTGTGTGCGCTCACGCATATTCTATCTTCCAGTAGCCTCATACCAGACATTTTTCTGATTATATTCCCTATTTGTTGTTCTTCAAACAGACTTACTTTCTTCTCTTTTCTTCTTGGATAGTGATAATTATATGTACTTTTCTTGTTACATGGAGCTTTCATGATAGCGTGTTCTCATAGTATCTTGGATCATTTCCTTTTTGGACTTTTTTTCTAGGAAAAAAAAGACTATTTCATGATATCTCTTCTCTCTTCCTTTCTCCTCAAGTTCTCTTCTTAAGCCAAGCATTCCAAATCTGTTTCTCACATGATTAGAAGCTCTAATCATGCTCTAAGCTCTTTCTTTTCAGATTCTCAAACAAGGTGTTCTTTAAGAAGGAAGACATTTTCTCATTTGGCCTTTCAGCATTTCTAACAAATTCTTATTTCCTAAGTGAACCAAAATGAAATGCTCATTGCTAGACAAAGAATTCCAATTGCTTTTTTCCTTAATTCCATCTTAAATTCTTTATTCCTCTATCAATTCTGTTAGCCCACAGAGCTTGCAAGATGCAAAGTATTTTTTATTTGAAGGATCATTGCCCAAATTCAGGAATTTCTCAACTGTTTGAGACTGTTGTTCCATCTCTTTGTTGAAGATAATTTTCATGCAACTTTTAAATTTATGTGGGCAGTCTTCTTATTTCTTAGCTCATAATACTTTTTTTTAGAAAAGAGATTAATGTATCTCTGATTACATATCACAGATATAAATATTAAGCAGAGCATCTCTATATATAATAAAACCAAAACTCCTAAGAGTACCAAATAGATTCTAAAGAAAGAAATTAAGTTTATTAAGAAAATATATGTGCTAACAGAAATCCTGGAAGAGGCTTGTTTTGATTTCAGAACAATCTGCTCATACTTAATTTGAAAGGCAATAAGAAGTATCACTTTTGTATGATTCTGCAAATGTGCAGCTTTGAAGACTTAATTCCTTTTATTTGTTTGCTTTCTGCAACTTCATGTTCACAACAACGGTAATATACTATAAATACAATTTCTGAATGTAATATCTTGCTCCAGTTGAGACAGCTGTAAATTCCTACAGATATATAGTTTTTCTGCATTTGAGAAAGATCAGATGCGATCAACCTTTGGATCAAAATAACTGAAATAGGCTTCAGGATTTAAGATTCATGAAATTATGCAGGAAAACACTCATACATACAAATCACTGTTTTTCAAAAATAACATTTATGGATATTTGCATGATTATCCTTTTAGAGTAAGAATAATACATCTTGCTTATTATTTTACTGATAAATTAACTATGCAATTGTATAATTTATTATATATATTCCCTTCCTTGATCTATCTATATGCTCCACATTTATTTTTTCTTAAGTTTAGCATATATTTGCTATTGAATGTTCAATCAATCAATTTTATTTGTCTTTCTCCAGCACAAATGATAGGATAAACAATACAGAGCAAATCACAAAAGCATGAAATAATTCTATCACTTAAAAGAAAGATAGATAGATAGATAGATAGATAGATAGATAGATAGATAGATAGATAGATA